AGTTGTAACAAGAACGTAGTCGTTGGTTTTGCGGCCGAAATGCCAAACGGCGAGCGACACCACCCTTCGCGATGCGGTCGTTTTTTTGTTTTTTATTATATCCCCTCGGAGGTTTGAGCCCTGCATGACCTGGCGGCCCTTTCGGCGCCCCCCTATGAATGGCGCCCTGTGCGGCTGCACAGGTCGCCCACCCCAAAGGCCGGCCCTGTCAGTAGGGCACGTTTAACGCCTGACTAACACGCAGCATGGTCGGTAAAAGATAAAGCACGTTACTTCGTACACCAAAACAATACTGACCTTTACGAATCAGAGGGTTTATTTAGGTAGAAGCCTCCAATCTGTAGCTCGACCAGCCCTAGAGCAGTAAACGCAGTGTTTAACTTAAGCAGCGCACGTTTATGTTGGTTTTCTCGTTGTTTTCTTTAAGTGGAACGAAGTGGAACATAGAAACCTTACCTTCTGCTCGATGGCATGTACAATTTCTTCAAATATCAAGTGCGATGAGCGACTACATCTTCCATTGAAAGCTCTGTTTGCCGTGCTGTCTATACCGCTTTCCCGGTTACACAGGAGTCTCGCTTTATGAACAGATGCGGACAACTCAACTCTAACCTTCGTTGACCGGCGCACCCATATAACACGCAACAGCTGCGGCATTAAAGCTGCAAAACATAAAAAGAGCATTCGCATTCAAAGAAAGCTAGGCGGAAACCTACGAACCTATACACGTTTCCTAAAAACGCTCCTAGGCCGCCGCCATGTTGCTGATGATGATGCGGCTGGTGCGACTCTCGCGCCCTCTATCAGCAAGAAATGTTCTGCCACTCTCTTGGACTGTGAAGACCCGCTCAGCGCGGTTCTCTACCTACGTTTTCGCGGTTTTATATTCGACGTTTTCTGGCCTCTCTTGAAAGTTCCACTTAATTTTTTTTATGCGTGCTGATTACCTGTGCTATCTTCCATTGAGAGAAATAAGACTGGTGCCTGCCATTCAAGCTTTTCTGTTCGATTTTCACGGAAAACGAAGGAGGTGAACGACGTCGAACGACCCTCGACACGAATTTGCGAACATTGTTCTACGTTGCTTAGCTACGATGTATCCATAGCCATGGATACATCGTAGCTAAGCGAAATTCAATTAGATATGTTGCGGGAGTGGGTGAAGGTCCGTTCACACTCATGCGCCCTCTTAAAACTGGGTTCCTTAAAACCTCTTACAACGAGAGGACACACTGGCGCCATCTGTTGGGTAGCAGTGCAAACTTGGTGGTCCGGCATATTTTCTATCTCTCTCGCGCATTATCCTTTCTTTCTTTGCTCGAAAACCTTTTGTCAACGTTATAAACGAGCCTTTCTCATGGGTTTTACGCACATTTGACGTCGAAAATACCGCAAAACCTTCGCTCTTGTGAAATGCAGTTCCAGGGTCACCGCATAGATGGCGCCAGCGTGCCAGTGTGTTCTCTCGTCCTAAGAAATTTTAAGAGGTTTTAAACAAGGCTCCTCTCTCAGTCGTACTCGGTTGCAAGAGTGTGAACGGCCTTGACGTGGGCCCGTTGCGACGCTGGTCGAAACGGGGAAGTCTGTGTGTGCTTGGATGCTCCGTGCGATGCTCCTCGGCACCGCACTCATCCACGAGCACACACACTTGGGGGGCCTGCAGAGCCACTCCGAGCTCTTCCCGCGTCCCGCCGCACCCGCTGTCGCACCCAACTTTCGCGTCGCGTCCACCCACCGGTCCAGTCTCGGCATACACTGTCTTGACTCGGATCGAAACCAAGCCGAGGTCGTCACTTTTCTATTTCTTTTCTTGTCAAAACAACAAAAAAAGAAAAAAAAAAAGAAGAAACCGCTCGAGTTAGGGACAAAACATTCCGCCGACCCTTCCTCGAGTCGGAACCTCTCCCGCAGTTCCTAATTTATTTATTTATTTATTTTATTTATTTATTCGGTTACCTACAGCGCCCTTAATAGGGCATTATTGTAGGGGGGAAGACAGTACAAGATATACACAGATGCATAGTACATAATAAACAGCAGCCTGTGTGACGCGGGAACAATGACAATGACAGCAATAGCAAACTATGTAGGTGATACCACCACAGCAATTTTACAACAAAAACACCAAGAAAAAGATGATACGAGATTGACAGCAAAAACTAATTTAACAGAAAATTTTGCAGCGTTGTAAAAAATGAGAAACATGGAGCAGAGACAATTTCAGCTGGTAAGTTGTTCCAATCATGTACTGTACGGGGAAAGAAACTATACTTAAATATGTTTATTCTGCACCTGTATTCGTGGACTTTCAGAGGGTGATCTGTACGGGGAGACACATAAGTTGGTTCTTTTATGTATTGTTCTTTATTAATGCCATTTCTGTTATTAAATGTGTTGTAAAATAAGGACAGTCTAAGATATTTTCGGCGGTCAGCAAGCGAAGGCCACCCTAATTTAGTACACATAGCAGACGAGCTTTTTGAGACATCATAATCGCCAGTCACAAACCGCGCTGCACGTTTTTGTATGCGTTCGAGCTCATCTATACTTGTCTTAGTGTAAAGATCCCACGCGGTGCAAGCATATTCTAAAATCGGACGCACGTTTGCCATATATAAAGTTTCTTTGAGTTTTGCAGGCGCTTGCCTAAAGTTGCGTTTAAGGAAGTTTAATGTGCGGCTGGCTTTAGAGGACAGGTAATTAACATGAGAGTTCCAGGATAGTTCGCTGGAAAAGAGAACGCCTAGATATTTATATTGTAAAACAACAGATAAGCTTGTGCCACCAAGAAAATATTCCGTGAGAAGCGGTCGTCGTTTGTTAGTAAACCTGACCAGATTGCATTTGTTTAGGTTCAGAGTCATCTGCCATGTTTGACACCAGGATAGAATAGAGCTTAGGTCATTTTGCAAAAGTTCAGAGTCCGCTTCACATGTTATGTCACGGTAAACGCAGCAATCATCGGCATATAATCTGACGGAACTAGAGATATTCACAGCTAAATCATTTATGTATATCAAAAAAAGAAGGGGACCGAGCACAGATCCTTGTGGGACACCTGATAAGACGCTTACATATGACGAATTCAAACCGTCGAGGACAACATTTTGCTTCCTGCCAACGAGATAGGCTTCAAGCCATTTAAGGAGTGTATTTGGAATATGAATGGTAGATAATTTTTGCAGCAATAGAGTGTGTGATACTGAATCAAATGCCTTTCGGAAGTCTAAAAAGACACAATCAACTTGGCTACCATGGTTTATCGATGTAGCGATATCATGGGTAAACTCTACTAATTGTGTATCGCAAGAATATCCAGTCCTAAAGCCATGTTGCGTTGGGTGAAAAAAATTATTACCTTGTAGGTGACTAATTAAGTTAGTGTAAATAATGTGTTCTAGTGTCTTGCAGGAAACGCTTGTTAGAGAGATAGGTCTATAGTTAGAAGTTTTTGTTTTGTCTCCACTTTTATGTACAGGAACTACATTTGCATTTTTCCAATCAAGAGGTAACTCACTTTGTTCAAATGATTTTCTAAACAACACTATTAGATATGAAGCGACAGAGGGGGCACAATTTTTCAGAACATAGTTAGAAATGCGGTCTGGGCCAGGCGCTGAGCCTACCTTGATCTTCTGTAAGAGCAAAGTGATGCCGTGCTCTGAAAACTCTATGTCATCCATAAGTGAAAACCCATTGAAATTCCTTAGACTATCAACCATGCTGCCTGGCTGAGTGAACACTGACTGGAAGTACAAGTTGAAGCTTTCAGCCTTGCCTTCTCGATCGTTGCTATAGTCTATGCCATCCACTACATCAGGGATAGTAATATTAGAATTTTTCTTGTTTTTTACGTATTTCCACACTTCCTTAGGATTTCTTTTGACTTTTTCAGAGAGAGTTCTTTCATACTTGTTTTGTGCCTTGCGCATTTCTTTTGCTATGTTCCTATTCATTTCTTTCATTTTAAGGTAAAACACAGTTTCCCTCGATTGACAATACCGGCGAAACAAACGATTCTTTTTGCTTATCAATGTTCGAAGTTCTCTATTCATCCACGGTTTATCGTTTCGGCGCTTTGCCAATATGATACGTGATGGAACAAACGTCTGGGTTAAAGATAAAATTTTTGTCTTAAAAAGATTCCACGCTGAATTAATATCTAAAGCTGAGGTATGCAGCAGGAATTCTGGAAAAAATTCATCTAGTTCACTCGATAGCGAACCGTAGTCCCCGCTTTCATAGAAAAACACTTTCCGTGGTTGTGAACTGCGACGGCGCGTTGCATTACAGCACATTTTTGCGACAACAACCTCATGATCGCTTATACCAGGTATTGTAAGAACAGAGGAAACAATATTACGGTCACTGCATAAAAACAAATCTAGCACATTAGCACTCGTAGGACCAAGCCTTGTTGGCGTTTCCACAAACTGTAATAATGAGTGTGCATTGATCATATCACGAAAAGCTGAATAAAGAAGAGACGTGGTCTGAATGATTGGCTGAAAAGAGACCCATTCTACATTTGGCAGGTTAAAGTCGCCTGCAAGAACGGTATATGTTGCCTCAAGGCTCAAAAGGATATTGCTTAGCTGAAGGAGGGGCTGTGCAGTGTTTGCGCCGGGTGGTCTATAAAAGGAACCAAACGCTACAGAGGAGCCATCCTGGAGCATAACTTTACACCAAACAGTTTCACATGTGTTGCATTCGATATTGACAGAGAGGCTACTAAGACTATTATGAATAAGGACAAAGACACCTCCACCGTGCACGCTGCGATCTTTCCTGTACGTGGTATACGTGGATGGAAATATTTCACTGTCCATTATTGTATTATCGAGCCAGGACTCTGTGCCAAGGACCACGTGTGGCTTTATTGTTTCCAAGAGGGAGGCAAATTCTATTATTTTGTTCTTTAGGCTCCGACAATTCACAACAATGCAAACCAAGTCATTATTATTGACAATTCTTTGTTTGTGGCTATTAATCGGTAGTGGTTATCTCTCCATCCTCGTCACAGTGTCTGTAGTACTGTCATTAATGAAAGTCTGATTAGCCATTTTTAGCTTGTTGAAATGCAGTTTGAAGTCCCCTCCGCGGTCCTTAGCAAACTTAAGCAATCTTTGTCTTTCCAAGCGAACTTTTTGCGAGTAGTCTTCACTAATCGAAAACTCCGATCCTTTTAGCCTTCCAACGACTGAGAGTATTCGCTGCTTATCTTGAAATGATAGGAACTTCACTATCACGGGCCGCTTTTTTGTGAGCGTAAAACGCCCTAGTCTATGAGCTCTTTCGATCGCAGCAGAATCAATCTGGATGTTCAGTTTTTCAGAACAAAATGACACAATTCTTTCCTCTGAAGTAGCCCATGTCTCATTTTGAACGTCTGGAATGCCAAAAAATATTAAGTTGTTTCTGCGAGACCTATTATCTAGGTCATCGTGAGAGTCCTGTAAGGTCGTGATACTTGAGGCAAGCTTATCGGATTGAGTTGCAAGGCGTGCCACTTCAGTCTTTAGCGGGAGTACGGAAGCTACATTATCTTCAACCTGCTTTATCTTGTCTGTTAGTGCCGTCACCTTTTGATCGAGAATCTGCTGGTGATTTCTAATAGAACGGACTTCTTCAAGAATTTCCGAATGTCTTTGTTGCATTGACGGTATGGTCATGATAACGTCAAACATCTGCTTTTCCTGCTCGGGAGACAGGGGCCCTGGGTTTTGCTCTACGTCACCGGCAAGCAAAAGAAGATTTTGGACAAGACGCGTACATCCCAAACAAAACGAGGTCACGAAACGCACAATCACAGTCGTAGTGGGTTCTGGCGCCGATTTCTTGAAAGGTTTACCGTTAATAGGAAGGTAAGAATAACACACCTGAAGGAATATGAGGCGTAAGTTTCTAGCGGCCATGTCGGCGCCAGATCCCGAAGTGACAGGGTGCGACAGCAGTTTTTGTAGTTTTCTGCCGTGATCGAATGCCCATGGTTGCCAGTCGATGTGATGGTCGAGAAGTGCCGGCAGCGCTGTCATGTCCAGCGGCGAGGGCTCATCCCAGAACACAAAGGCCGGGCAAACTTGTTCTTGGTAGGCGTTGTCATCCGAGACGAAACACGTCGTCGCTGCAGCGTCATGGAAGGCTGCCACGAACCACACCACCTGAAGGAATATGAGGCGTAAGTTTCTAGCGGCCATGTCGGCGCCAGATCCCGAAGTGACAGGGTGCGACAGCAGTTTTTGTAGTTTTCTGCCGTGATCGAATGCCCATGGTTGCCAGTCGATGTGATGGTCGAGAAGTGCCGGCAGCGCTGTCATGTCCAGCGGCGAGGGCTCATCCCAGAACACAAAGGCCGGGCAAACTTGTTCTTGGTAGGCGTTGTCATCCGAGACGAAACACGTCGTCGCTGCAGCGTCATGGAAGGCTGCCACGAACCACATCACCTGAAGGAATATGAGGCGTAAGTTTCTAGCGGCCATGTCGGCGCCAGATCCCAGAATTAGCGGGTGCCGCGAAACAGCACCCAGCCGATGGCCCCAGCTCTCCCGCTCAACCCGCGGCGCAAGGAGCGACCGACAACCGGATGCGTTCCCTCACGAAAACTCCAAAATAGAGAAAAATGGTCGAATTCTGCGACAACGTGGTTCATCGACGGGCAAGCGGTGAAAC